CCTGGAGCTACAGTGATGGGGAGACGTCTGGTCTGAAGAGGGAGGACAACTGCATCATTTCCCGGACCCAAAGTGACATTAGAGGTGCGTTTACATTCTGTTTAATGTGCTAAAGCTAACAGCTAACACGCTATTTAGCCTGCAAAGTGAATCACGTTAGCCGAGCACTTTTGTGCTTTTGGTTGTTCGTGCAACAACACTCAGGACAAGATGTGGGTTCATGTTTATTAAATAGACAAAAAGGACACTTTAACTAGAAAGCTAATGTGGTTGTTCAACTTCTGTGTCTCTTGTTGTATTACAAATGTTCCTCTTTCACTACAAGCCTGCCTTAATAAAATATGTATATTTTTTTGTAAACACAATACACAGTTTTGTCACCGTTTCATTCCTTCCCTCCACTTCCTTCCTCCTATCTTTTAGTGTTTTGGTGAATCACACAGCCTTAAGAGGGCTTGTAACTCAAGCTGCCTTGTAAGTAATGCTAATTAAACTTGATTTGAATTTCAGACTAGGTCTAAACTGCTGCATTTCATGGAGGTGGTGGTTTAAGGGATTGGAAGAGATTTTAAAACAGACCGACGTGACCCGAGTTAGAGAAAAAGCCTCAAACTTTGAGGTTATAAGGACTCCTTTGGGAGTAGAGGGAAAGAACGTTTTACAACTATTTTACTGAATATTTTGGTGACACGTTATGATACATAATTCACCATTGAGATTATTGTGTTGCAACCCGGACCCGTTAGTGAGGGTACCGGGGTTTGAGGTCATTCATGCGAGCTTGTCATGCAGAGCAGACATGTACTTACCTGTTGTTGATTAATGGATAATAAAGTGTGGAAGTCCATTCTGAATACACCGCCTCTCACTCCCGTTCATCGGCTCTACAATATAAATAAAATGCTGCTTGTTTATAGTATTTCAGTAAGACTATCAAGAACACGATATAATGGTGTCAACATTACGGTCAGGGTGGCCCAGGTTCATGTCCTTGTGCTGGAGTCATCTATTTAAAGTTGGCCTCTCTCTTTCTGTCTAGTGGACAACATTCTGAACTCTGTTGGAGCCTGAGGTCACTGAGCATTTTCCTTCAGCCAGCTCTTTAAAAGAAAAAGAAAGACCTTCAGATACTTTCATGAGGTTGACAAAACAGGAGGTTAATTTACTCAAAAAAAGGGCAATCTCTTCTTATTTTGCTCTCCCCTGAAGAGCCTTTAAACCAAAAGGTTTGCCAAAGTGGAACACTGTCTGTTTTCTGTAAACCTTATTAAATTCACTATTTGGGCTTTGTGGGCCAGCTTCTGGTCTAACACAAACTGGATTTATTGTACAGTTTTATTATGTGAATTTATTGTCACAGTTTTACTGTTTACCTTGTCACTTGCTAAGCAACAGGAAGGCTCTATTTAATTACTCTAAAGTGATCAAGACTCTATAGTTAGCCCGTTATTTGTTGTGCTCTCTCCCTTAAAAAGCAGATTTACAAGCTTGTAAAGTTTCAAGCATTTTTTCTCACAACACAACATTATGTAAAGTTTCAGTACAGTCAAATTTGTGTTGATTATAAGTAATTTACACTTCGCATAGGGGGAATTCGTAGCAAAAAAAGGTGTGTACATGCTATGGACACTGCTTTGCAACCTGTGAGTGGTCTGAGTAATAAATTAGGTAACGGCAAATTACTCTACCTGTGGATTTATCTAAACATATTGAGGATATTGATTGATTTTCTCCCAAATAGGTTAAATATATTACTTTTAAAGGGAGAAACCAGATAAGTACATATCAAAACAGACATTCAGCACATCAATATCAACCCAGTCTCACTGAGACCTAATTTCCCCACAACTGTGAAGCTTCTCTTGTGAGATTGGCTTTCAAATCAAGCTCCCAAGATAATTTCGTAAAATAGTTGATTGTCTGGTGTCATCCCTCCATGGAACTTTTCTTCTGTTTTACTGTAATACAAGTATTATCTTATTGAAAGATCCATTCAGCCAATTCAAATGAGCTATTTACAGATTGTTTTTCGTATTGCTTGTTAAAAGACCCCTACACATAGGTCACATGAAAAAGAGAACACATGTTCAGGCCATGTGACTAAGGCTAGCAATAGGGATAACTATATAAAGTTGAATAGATCCGAGTTATTCCTGTATTTCTACATGTTACTGACAATACATAAATGCAAGAACAGCTTGGGCTTTTCAAACAACCCGTTGTATTTGTCACATTAATCTGTGCCAGTGGAAATGTGGGCACAAATGCAGACTCCTGAAAGCACACTGTGAGAAATGTCAGCGACATCAATCTGTAATCTCTCATAACACTGAAGCCCTATTTTCTATTTCCCGACTTTAGTTTGATTTGTTGAATTTGTTCCACCTCAGTTATTTCTTTAGTATATAGTAATGCTGGCTGACTTGAATTTAAATTGCCCAAATTATATTTCTCATTTAAAAAAATGTATTGTGAGACTCGTAGCAGAAAGGAACATTGCTGAATATTGTGATTTATTACTTTTTACTTTTAAACCCCTCGCGTGTCAATGTTGGATTAGACCCAGAACCCAAAGGGGATCTGCCCCCCCCTGTGGTGACAGGTGTAACGCTATAAATATAAAATAGACTGGAAGGCTTTCCATTCCCTTCACAATACAGCCACACTAATTTGGATTGAGAAGGAGGCTGCAATGTCAAAATAAATCCTTTGTGATACCTTGTCGGTGCAGTATGTCTTCCACTTTTTTTACAGAGGAACAAGCGCAGAAAAAATTGGAATGAGAGGAAAAAACCTTGATTTGTTTGCGAGTGTGAGGCAGCCGCTTCACTGCTGCAATCACTTTGGAACTGTTTGGCTTATTGCTACTTGATTCCTCAAAAGATTGCATTAATTTCCAATACTTATCCCCCTTTCTGAGGGCTGCACGCGGGCCTGAGCACAGTTCATGTTTAAAACTATGATTATTAGTTTCAAGCCCTCCTTAATTCCTTTAGAAGTCAGAATGGGATATTTTTATCCTAAAACACATAAACAGGATACTTCAAAAACCCAACCCTAAACGAGGTACTGAAATGTCTCAACTACTGGATGCCATTACATTTGGTGCACCTATTCATGCAGCTGTCAGGATGTTTTGTAATCACTTTCAGAATTTCAAATTTACCAAATTACATTCCCATCATTATTGTCGGTGGTGTGTTTCCCGCAAACTAGCAAATATTAGCATGCTAACACTAACAGCTAAGATTATGAACATGGCAAACCCGCTTTAGACCTACATGTTACCATCAACACTGTGAACATGATGGAGGGAACGTTGGAATTGTAGCCTTTGCAGACCATTTACATGCACGCAAATCTGTAAAACACACTACTACAGGAAAGGGATACATTTTTTCATTGTCTTTCACATCAAAAATCCATCCGCATTTGGTACTGTGACCCTGAAACACTTTCATACTCAAACTTTCCTTCCTGTTTTTCCAGGTTGCCACTTGACAATTAACCAGCAGCTGCTTCAGTTAGCAGTCGACTGTGCACGCATTATTTTGAACCAAAGAGCTTACTTAGCTGTGACAAAGGAGCACTAATTCAAATGTGTACTTTTATGTTTCTTTTTTTTTTTTAAGTGGAATGTTGGTTTCATAGACTGATTTGATCCGCCGTTCAAGCGTAAAAGCCTTGTGTTTGAGCGCTCTCATGTCTGACTAATTAGAGAGGACTAATGTGTTTTTCATCTTTGGCACACCACTTCTAAATGAAAACAAAATGGAGTTGGTGCGGTTTGTCTCGCTCCCACCTGGCTGTCAGTGGAGTGGATACGCTCGGGCAGCAGCTGTTACAGTTACGTAAGATATACCTCCGAAAGAACATCTGATAATGGAGACGAGAGGAATCAAAGCACGTTCAGGCAACAGTCAGGAGAAATCTGCACATGTACTTCTCTGCAGGACACAAACTGACACATGACGTTATCTTACAAACTCTACAATACTACAATGTCTCTTTTTAACCTATTTAAGCATTCCCTTATCTCTCCTTCGGTATCAATGTTTGTTTCTAGAAATATTTAGGTTTCCTTATTCCTTCCATCATGCTTACTGTATATTTTTGTTTTAGGTTGAATACTATGCAAGGATCTCCAAAAAACAAGTGCTGTTTCCCCCGGTAAGTTAAATGACTAAATATGTCCGATATAGGCAACAAAATTACCTTTTTTATTTGACCATGGGTGTTTCTCAATGTCGAGGACGCTTGCTTGGCATGTCCTCCGACATACTTGCTTCAGAAGCGAGGCAAGAATCCTTCCTAGCCTCGGAAAATGAACAATTGTGGAACAGGCTAACAGGTGTGAGTCATATGAGAGGCCCCGTCTTAAATGGGGTGCGATTTCCGCCAAAGATTTGGAAATTGGTCCTTACGCAAAGCATTGTGGGGATTTTAAGACCGCAGAGTCTACACATGCAGAGCCTCGAAATTTCTCGCTACGAAGTACGCCGGCCTCGGTAGAATTCCAAGTATGCTGGACATTTGGCGGCACTCGATGACGTAGTCAATCAATCAATCAATGTTTATTTATATAGCCCAATATCACAAATGTTACATTTGTCTCAGTGGACTTCACAGTTTGTACAGAATATCAGTATGACAATACGACACCCTCTGTCCTTAGACCCTCACATCGTATAAGGAAAAACTTCCGGAGAAAACCCCACAGTTTAAAGGGAAAAATGGGAGAAACCTCAGGGAGAGCAACAGAGGAGGGATCCCTCTTCCAGGACGGACAGACGTGCAATAGATGCCGTGTGTAAATCTCTAGAGTCTGAGTGCCAAGGACCTCATATTATGTATGTCATTAATGTTACATCACCCATTATAACAATTTGCTTTCCTTTTTCTCTTTTCTTAACTGAATAGCCCTGTCTTTAAGTATAATACAATGTAAAGAAAAAGGAAAGCAAATTGTTATAATGGGTGATGTAACATTAATGACATACNCGTCTGTGATCCACCTGCAGGAGTAGTCGGGCACGTGCAGCTGGGAGAGCTTGTCTTGCAGCAGAGCCGGGATGATGGTGTTGAAGGCGGAGCTGAAGTCCACAAACAGGATCCTGGCGTAGGTTCCTGCTGTGCCCAGGTGCTGGAGGAGGAAGTGAGGGGCCATGTTGACAGCGTCGTCCAGAGACCTGTTAGCCAATAACCAACCAAGGTAACCTCCCCCCACCTTATCACCTGAATCTCCTCCTAGAGCCCCATTGTGTTCTTTTTAACCAAATATCTCTCAGAGGGGCTTGGGGAGGGGCTCCTTATTTTCATCTAAAGTAACAGACATAGAATCAACACTTTTGAAACAGAGGGGATTATGGGATGCTACAATGATCCGTTTCAACACTTATTCACATGTTTGTATCTGATTCCTGATATATATTGATGAAAAACAGTATAATAGGGGACCTTTAATATGAGACATGAAGTGTTCCGAGTGAACTGAGGCAGTGGATGGAGCCTCAGTTTTAAATGTGTGGAAACGGATTGCCCCAAAGTCTTGTGCAACTGTGGAAATCTACGGTGCAAATGAAGAGTGTTAATCTGGTGCTTCACTTGCGGAGAGTAAGTGCTGTGAAATCTTGATTGTAACCCTCTGCTCTCCCTAACTTTCCCCGTACGTTATCTTCTCTTCTCCGCCCTATTCCTCACTCACCCTAATTTTTCTGAAGTGTTTAGAGCCTGAAACGAAACAGGCAGCGTCTCTCCATGGGAGGCTGCCAGCGGAGATGAAATCTGTCCGGCTTCCTCCAACAATCTCCTCCCAGCTCCAACCTTCTCCTCCCTACAGTAGTCCACAATCTACACAGCTCGCTGAAATTTTAATCTACAGATGTAATTCGCCCTGCAACATTGATGGGACCCCCTGCTGAGAACAGAGGAGAAGGCTTCCATCTTACTGTATGATCAGTGGTTGGATGTACTTTTCCTAGAGCAGATTGACTACTAACAATGCCTGTCTGTTCACCCATGTGGTGTTTACTGTACTGATTTATATTACATAACGTCTACATTGCAAACACACTATACATGATTAATACCATTCTCAAACATTTACAACTGTTGTATCCGTGCAGGTCTTCAGCATTCTCTCTGTTGGTGTCAGAAAGTGGTGTAGATACACGGAGGGATGATACATTTCACTTTGTCAAACAAGCTGCAGGTTCCATCAAAAGCTTTGTACTGATAGTAGAGTTAGACTCCGGGAGCTCTTACGTTCCTACAAGAAACGTGGAAGTCATACAGGGATAATCCTGTCATCGTCTGGAAGGAACTGGCAAACGGCAAAAGTATTGAGAAGTAAAAGAAGAAGTGTCAAACGCAGAAATCTGACAAGAAAAATAAATGCTCAGTTGAAATGTGGAGTGGTATGTATTTTGGAATAACTACCACTTACAGTGGGGCAAAAAAGTATTTAGTCAGCCACCAATTGTGCAAGTTCTCCCACTTAAAAAGATGAGAGAGGCCTGTAATTTTCATCCTAGGTATACCTCAACTATGAGAGACAAAATGAGAAAAACAGAAAATCACATTGTCTGATTTTTAAAGAATTTATTTGCAGATTATGGTGGAAAATAAGTATTTGGTCACCTACAAACAAACAAGATTTCTGGCTCTCACAGACCTGTAACTTCTTCTTTAAGAGCCTCCTCTGTCCTCCACTTGTTAACTATATTAATGGCACCTGTTTGAACTCGTTATCAGTATAAAAGACACCTGTCCACAACCTCAAACAGTCACACTCCAAACTCCACTATGGCCAAGACCAAAGAGCTGTTAAAGGACACCAGAAACAAAATTGTAGACCTGCACCAGGCTGGGAAGACTGAATCTGCAATAGGTAAGCAGCTTGGTGTGAAGAAATCAACTGTGGGAGCAATTATTACAAAATGGAAGAAACAAGACGACTGATAATCTCGCTCGATCTGGGGCTCCACGCAAGATCTCACCCCGTGGGGTCAAAATGATCACAAGAACGGTGAGCAAAAATCCCAGAACCACACGGGGGGACCTAGTCAATGACCTGCAGAGAGCTGGGACCAAAGTAACAAAGGCTACCATCAGTAACACACTACGCCGCCAGGGACTCAAATCCTGCAGTGCCAGACGTGTCCCCCTGCTTAAGCCAGTACATGTCCAGGCCCGTCTGAGTTTGCTAGAGAGCATTTAGATGATCCAGAAGAGGATTGGGAGAATGTCATATGGTCAGATGAAACCAAAATAGAACTTTTTGATAAAAACTCAACAAGACGTGTTTGGAGGAGAAAGAATGCTGAGTTGCATCAAAAGAACACCATACCTACTGTGAAACATGGGGGTGGAAACATCATGCTTTGGGGCTGTATTTCTGCAAAGGGACCAGGACGACTGATCCGTGTAAAGGAAAGAATGAATGGGGCCATGTATCGTGAGATTTTGAGTGACAACCTCCTTCCATCAGCAAGGGCATTGAACATGAAACGTGGCTGGGTCTTTCAGCATGACAATGATCCCAGACACACCGCCCGGGCAAGGAAGGAGTGGCTTCGTAAGAAGCATTTCAAGGTCCTGGAGTGGCCTAGCCAGTCTCCAGATCTCAACCCCATAGAAAATCTTTGGAGGGAGTTGAAAGTCCGTGTTGCCCAGCGACGGCCCCAAAACATCACTGCTCTAGAGGAGATCTGCATGGAGGAATGGGCCAAAATACCAGCAACAGTGTGTGAAAACCTTGTGAAGACTTACAGAAAACGTTTGACCTCTGTCATTGCCAACAAAGGGTATATAACAAAGTATTGAGATGAACTGTTGTTATTGACCAAATACTTATTTTCCACCATCATTTGCAAATAAATTCTTTAAAAATCAGACTTTTTTTTTTATTTTCTGGATTTTTTTTCTCATTTTGTCTCTCATAGTTGAGGTATATCTAGGATGAAAATCAAAGGCCTCTCTCATCTTTTTAAGTGGGAGAACTTGCACAATTGGTGGCTGACTAAATACTTTTTTGCTCCACTGTAGTTGTAAAATAAATAGAACATCAGCAAGTTTAAGAAGCAATGCCTACCCTCTCAAAAAGAAAATGTTCAGTTAAGGGAAAGACGGCAAGATTGGAAAGTGAAGTGGATTCATGAACTCAGTTTTATTTTAAGATGTAGCCGTCTACAGCATTATTAATATTCTATTTCCACTCTCCCTGCCTCAAAGATACTGCAATGCCAATACTACACTACTCGAAATATGCATGTATTAGAAAGGTGTGAGAATAGACATTTGATTAACTATGAGTTTGATAAATAAATAGAATAATATCAGGTAGACTGCAGATTGTGGTCAAATCAAATAAAGATTTTCCATAGAGGGTTATTAAAATGTGAGCTACTTATAGGATATAAAAGCTTTTTTACTTCATAATGTTGAAAGTCACGACTATCAGGTGCTCAAACTGCCTCAATAACGGCCCACTATTCGGGGCACATAGACTACAACTCATTTCAGACGAGGTTTACAAGACAGAAGACAAGATTATTTCACTAAAGGAATCTGGACTCAAATATCACATTATTACACAGGAGGGGTCACTGCAGGGCATTCTGTGTATGTATCAAGTAAAAGAGGGGGTGTCAAATGAACACAGAATGGATACATGAGCCATATAGAAGGTCAAGGTGGAGAAAAGAAGTCCCTCAATTGCTTTTATTTGAGGACCTGTCAATGTTTTTGTTTCCAATCAAAAAGAATGCCTTCGATGCAATAAGCACTATTTGTTTTTCTCCAACTCAGCTTACAAAGCAGGTGGATTTGAGCCTGTCTAAATAAAGGGATGTTTTTTTCACCTTTATTTGGGTGGACATGCAAAAGTTGTAAACGTCCATTTTTCCATCCTGAAAAACCCTGGGAGGAAACCACTCCTGACCCTGACGTAATTTCTCTGTCTCATTCCAGGTTTATCTTTCACCATTGCCCTTCCCCGCCCGGTTCTTACCGTTTCCCCTCCTGCAGACATGAAGGGAGATTCCTCTGAGGATTACTTCGCAGGTCTCATCAAAGCCACGCTGCTGACTCTCCGACATCTCTAATGTTTAGATAAAGAATAAAGGAAACTCATTCCAGAGCACGAGGTTTCAGTACACTACATTATCTGACATTTCTACAGAAGGGAAGACGGAGTAAAGGCAATTCACGTATAAACCCCCGTCCCAATGGCTTTCATTTTCTTAATATTAGTGGTTTATTCTCTAAATGAATTGACCTAGGTGAGGGGGGATTGTGATGCTTTATAAACTCACATCAAATCCCCTTCATCTTGAGTATTACTGCAGCTATGAGGTGGTTAGAAAAGCAATAAATGGCCTTGAATACTGTTAAAGTTAGTTATTCAAGGCAGGTAGGACAGCATGACAGTAGTTTAATCAACCATTGAGCATGAGTTTGATTCATTAATAGCAGGTAAAGATATATCTGTGGTGCATATTCAGTTCCATTGTGTTGGGCACTGATTACAAAAAAATCAGTTTAATATAAGATTTTTGAAGACAGTCCAATCACATTAAAAACCTGGAAAAAACAATATCTGAAAATATATATGCCACCAGACTTCAGCGAGAAAAGTTAATTTAAATTTTAAATGAAGAAAGTCGCACAACACAATGATATTCCAAATACACATCAACTAAAATATGTTCTCTTTGTTGTTGACCAAATGTTTTTATTAGTTAGTTGTTGATTTTCTTAATCCTGAAAATCCTGTCCATGCATAACGATACAAAATAGACACACGGGGTGTTTCTCAATGTCGGGGAAGGCTGCTCCAGAGCCACTATTTCAAGCATACTCATAAGTCCTGGATGGATATCCTCGTGGATTCATCTTCCTATTATACACACATGCATTTCCAAACATTTGGACTAACTATGTTACAAATGTATTATCTTTTCAATTTACACACGGCATCTATTGCACGTCNAGGATGTTCTTCCTGAGGCAGCTGAAGAAAATCAACCTGCCAAAGACGATGATGGTGAACTTCTACACCTCCGTCATCGAGTCCATCCTCACCTCCTCCATCACCATCTGGTACGCTGCAGCCACAGCCAAGGATAAGGGCAGGCTGCAGCGGGTCAGCCGCTCTGCAGAGAAGGT